ACTGACATCTCGTCACATCTTCCAGAATGATGAATTTGATATGTTCGGCGGGATTCTGTGGACCTAAGTCGGATACACAAAAGCAGGAGGAAGGAAGGGAACACTCAGAACCTGCTAAATGACAAGCATGCAGTGGCAGCAGAGTGGCAGCGCTACGTGCAGTAGTGTGGTGGTGGAGGAGGTGCCACTGCAGCCAGGTGACTACCATGATGAAAACTATGAGGATGAGGATGATGACACTTACGATGGCAACCAGGTGGGCGCCAATGATCCAGACTCAGATGATGAGCTCATCAGCCACAGGCCCTTCACCATCCCTCAGGTGCTGAGAACCAAAGTGCCCAGAGAAGGGCAGGAGGAGGAGGATGAAGAGGAGGAGGAGGAGGAGGAGGCTGAAGATGAGGGCCCCAAGCCTGACTATTTCATGCGGGACGCTGCAGTACTGAGGGAGAAGGAAGAAGCTAGACGCCTGGCCCTCCTTGCCAGGAAAGGGTACCAGCAGGATAGCTCAACCGCAGTGGCTGGGAGCCCCCAGGGCCATGGACAGAGCTGGGAAACAACACAGGAACGTCAGAAGAAGGAAGGCAACAAAGCAGCAAGAGCCACCCACAACCAGAGAACCATGGCTGACCGCAAGAGAAGCAAAGGCATGATCTCTTCCTAAGATGTCCTCTCCATCTGGCCCTCTGGGGACTCCCCAACTTCAACTTGACCCGTCAACAGCCTCAGCTTTGCAGGCTCTGAGAAGGCCACCTCATTGCCCACCAGCCATCCAGGAGCACCTTCTTGTAGAACACACAGTGCCTTATTCCTTGGCAGAGGAGCCCACTGGCCAGCAAGAAACCTCTTTTCCAGCTGCACTGGTCAGAAAGGGCAGGGGACAGAGCCCCAAGACAAGTCCCCCAGACCTTGTGCACCGGACACCACTTCCCTTTACTCCTGGATGGCAGGAAACCTATATGTTCAGAAACAACACAAGGCCTACAAATAAAGTTTCTGACCCTTTCCAGGAATGATTTGTGACGTGACATGATCCACTCCTGTATCTTGTTCTGCAGTGCCACCTGCCAGCTGGAGGACAAGAGGGCAGGGCAGTCCCTGTGCTCTCTGTATTGAACTTTCTTGCTTGCCTCTCCATTTAACCCTTCTTCGTGTTGTTCTGCCTTGCTGTGCGACGGTGAGCACACTAGACCCTTCTCTGAGCCCCTAGTTGCTGCCTATGGAAGTGGGTACTGTTTTCAGCCCCATAGTACAGATGAGTAAAATGAGGCACTGAGGGCTGGAGTGTCTGCCCAGGCCACAGCCAGGAGCTGGCAGAATTGGGATTGGACACTCAGTGTGACCTGGGACCCTTGTGGGTCCTAGACCCCTGAATGTGATATTATCTCCATCTCATAGCTGGCCCAAGGACATGTGGCCAGTAGTAGAGCCAAATTCAGTGCCTCATGGTTGTACATACACTCTACTAAACCCTCCAAAATCCAGTTATTAAGAAACAAGCAAGGATGCCCAGTTGAAGCACATGGCAGTTGGCCTGGTTCCTCACTCAGAGTTCCCTCCCAGGTGTAGCCAACCAGTTCCCAGTATGGCATGGCTGCCAGGTCTCCCAGAGTGTCACTAATCAATACAGATCAACGGGGGACATTTGCTGGGCTGATCTTAGCCCAGCTTGGCCTGGGGCTCATCAGTGGAAGCCAGGGGCCACGCCCATCTGGACCTTGACAAATCACCCTGGGTGCCAGTGCCATTTATTTGTACATAGTCAGGATAAGCGTGTGAGGCAGGGGCAGACAGGCGCTTGACAGATTGGTTTTGTGAGGTCATCCCACACAAGTGAAAATCAGTAACAATCCCTCTGTGTCTCGCGCTTCCCTTGGTGTGTTTGAGATGCAGAGCAGATCTGGGGTGGTATCCTCCCTGAGAGCTGCAAAATTAGCTGAGATCAGGCCCAGAGTCAGCCATCCTGACAGGCAGTGGGAAGACTGTTTCCTCCCAGAGGCATTTTCCAGTGACCAGGCTCCTCAGACGGGGCTCTTTTCCCTGGCAATAGGTGAGGGACCCTGGAAGCTTGGCCTTTACCTGCCTTACCTGCTCACACAGCTCTTCCCACCTTCACTTCATCACCTGTGCCTCCCAGTCACCTGGAATAGTGTTCAGGTTTCCCAGGAGCCTTCTGGTTTAAAGGGTCTGAAAAGGCCATTTTTCACATTTTCAGAAAGTAGTGCCGAGTCAAACTTAGTCTCCCTTGAGGAGCTGCCTCTTTCTGCTTTCCGATCTCAAGGGCAACCATTCAGGGTGCTTTGAAAACAGCTCAGGGCCATCAGAATGGTGCTCACAGGCACCTCTTCCCCCCAGCCCTCAGTATTCCCATCTGTGAAGTGAGTGTGTTGGACCAGACAGATAGTTTCCTCTTGGTGCCAGTGAGATCCAGGGAGGAGATTCCCAGGTTTAAGACTGGCAGCTGCAGAGTAGGAGTAGAGTCAGTGGCTGCCCTGCCCCGCCTGCTCTGTTACTGAAGCCAGCCACCCTCACTGCTGCTCCTATGCAGGTATCTTCTAAGTGCCTTCTCTGTGCCCTGGCAGAGAACATGATTATTACAGATCTTTCCTGGGAAGATTTTAAGATCTTGTGTCTCAGAGAGGACTTGGCATCTGGATGTCTTTATTTCTAGTCCTAGAATAGCAATGGTGGGGGGCATAGGCATTTGAACAGAGCTTCTGTTCCCCTGTGAAGAGTCGGGTAGAACTGATCATTGTTTATTAAAAGGGAGCCAGAGGGCTGGGGATTTAGCTCAATGGTTCTGCCTCCTGCCTTGCAAGCTCAAGGACCAGAGTTCAATCCCCGGTACCAAAAAAACCCCAAAAACAACCCCAAACAAACAAACAAACAAAAAGGGACCCAGGAGCCCAGGAGCCCATTGAGGAGACCTGGGCAATTAATCAGTCCAAAGCTGGTGGCACAATCGTGGCAGAGCCTGCACACATGTCCTTTCTGAGTTGCCTCTTAAAAACCAGCCCAGAGGAGGAAATGGTTGGCCAGAGCCTACATGTTGCTGTCACACCAAGAACTTGGGGAAGATAGTACAGGGAAGGAAAGAAAAAACAAATAAAGGTCAATCCACAGAAAAGGCAGGGGCTGTTGTGTAGCCCTTCAAAATGACATCAACAAAAACTTGGTAGCACCATGGGAAGCTTTTTTTTTTTTAAGAATAAATTTAAAGGCAGAATACACAATGGTATGATGCATCGTGATTGTAAAAAACGTAAAAACAAATTTTTCTTGCATATAGACCAAATCTGGAAAGGAATGTACATAATAAAAATAAAAGCAAGAGTGTCAGTGATGGTGGTCGTGAGACCACACAGATTTGTAATAATAAAAGCATTGTTGAGTGAAAATGGCTCTCATGAAGGGCTTCCCATGGATGAATTTCCTAAGCTGAATTTTTAAAGGGCAAACAGGACTTGGCCAAGGGAATGGAGGAGTTAAGAGAGAAATGGCAAGTATGACTCTGGCAATGGGCAGCAATCATGTAGTGGGTAGCTCTGGGCCACTACTCATTCTATAGGGACTTCTGTGTGACTTAAAAAAGGTGTCCTTACCCCTCAGTGTTGAGAGCAATTCTACGTAATTTTGGAGAAAAATCATTTGATTAGGCCTAGTTCTCCTGCCTACAGGCCAGCTATGGCATGTCGAGACATAACCCCATTTTGGCCTCCGGTCACAGCTAAAACCTCAATGGTCTGGTGATAGTGATGCTCCAGGGCAAGATTACACCAGTTGAAGACATCCTGTGAGGAACAAAATCTTCATCTGCATAGTTCCTCATTGTTCTAGGATTTTCACCTCTGCAGCAGCTGCTGCCCTGAGTGACTTTTTACATTTATTACTTTCTGGTGTACAGAACTGTATGCCCTGAGTCATCTGTTCCTTTTGTTTTTCCTGATGTAGTGAATAAAGGTGTGGCAAGCTCTAGGGCTTTTTTCTTTGCTGCCCAGAGCAGAATTGATCAGGCCCAAAGCTCAGCTTCTTCTCTAAGTCTTATGTCTTCTATCTTCTCTGTCTATATATTAATTAATTCCCCTTGTGCTGTCGTGGCTCACAGGAGATTAGCACTTACTCCAGAGGTTCTAATAACGTCCACTTTCCTTGTTCCCTACACCTCAAAGAAAAGGTGCTGGTGTTAGTTTTCTAGGGTTGTTATAACAAGTCACTACAGACTTGGTGATTTAAAATATGAGAAAATTTTTTACTGTTGTGGAAGAGAGAAGTCTGAGATAATGCTATTGGCAGGATTGGTTCCTTCTGGAAGGTCTGAAGGAGAATCTGTTCTGTGCCTCTCTTCCAGCCTCAATTCTTGGCTCTCCATGGCTTGTAGATACACTTCACCCCCATCTCTGTCTCTACCTTTGCATAAAGAAATATTTCACTGTTCCTTCCCCTGGCTGTCTTCTCTCTTCTTACAGAGACACATGTCACTGGGATTAGGGCCACCTCATTAATCTAGAATGATCTCATCTAGAGATCCTTCACTCATTCCATCTGCAAAGATCCTTTTGCTAATTAAATCACATTTATAGATCCCAGGGCTTAGAATTTGAGCATATCTTATTTGGAGCCTGTCAGGTAAAAGGGCTGAAAACCAAGACCAGACCAGGCCATAACAAGCCTTTATTAGGGGAATAGATCTACCGGGCTGTCTCTGAACAAAGGAGAGACAAAAAGGTGCATGGCCAGGGCAGGGAGAGTCTTTTATAGAGACTGGGGTGGGGTTTGTAGGGGCTGAGGCAGAGTTGAGTGAGGTAGTGATCAGAGAGTGGAGGAGCCGGTGATGGCACTAGGTGGTAGGAGGTGAGCGAGTATTAGGTTACTCTCTAGGCAGGAACAGGGGCATGCTGGGAAGAAGGGTTTATTCTTTGGTGGGAGCAGCCAAGGTTGTTTACGGTGATAAACTTTTCTTCTAGACTCAGATATATTCCTTTCTCTTACTTGTGTTCCAGCTACTTGGGATAAGAGGTACATATCAAGCCAGCATGAGACCATCAGCCAAATGGTAGTTTTGTTTTGTTGTCCTTTTGAGACAGGGTCTTGTTTTGTAGTTCAGTCTGTCCCTGAACTCACTATGTATCCCAGGCTAGGCTCAAACTCATGGCAATCCTCCTGGCTCTTCCTCCCAAGTGCTGGGATTATAGGCATGCACCAGCACGCCCAACTCTAAATGATAGTTTTTAAAAGCTTGTGTGATGTGTATGTTATGCATGTGTCCCTCTACATTTAGAGATGCTCCGTGATGATGCAGTCCACACAATGTCACACACTAAAAATTAAAGACTAGATATTATAAACTTCTAAGATACACTTATAGACATGTGCATTCTTCTCCAATGGCATCCTATTAAAACATAACAAATTACATGAGAGTTTCTTTGTATCATTTAATATCTTGTGATCAGATGGAGATGATTGACTAAGAAGCTTATTTTATACTAAGACGGACATTTAAATGTGTTTCAAAGATAATGTGATTGTCATGCTATGTGTGTCACTTGATCCCAAGTTTTCTCTGTAAAACTTCAAAATTGTTATCTGTTAGCATTCTACAGGGATTCAACTTCTAAGACAACCTGATTGGTAAGAAAATAACAGTCCTCTGGCTATACTTTATACTTCAAAGTGCTTGATACCCAGATGAGATTATAATAGTTAAGCTCACTGCTCACTTCAGTACTAGTGTAACTGACCTTCTGGCTGTTCAACAACTAAGGCTTGGGGGCCAAAGTTAAAAGGTAATTTGGCTTAAAAGGTAGCCAATAGTTTGGCCCTGACCCTCCAAGGTCAAAAAGGACCCAGAACATGAGAGAACCTCTCTACAGGATCCTACAACTTTGACGAGTCACCCAACCTCCTGAGCAAGGAGATAATTGGACCTCAAAGAACGGGAGTCAACCAATGCACAGTGTGTCCAAAAGGAGGGTCACCAAAGAGGAAAAGTCTTCCATCCTGTTACATGCATGGTCAACCAAGACCATGACCCATTCTGGTGGCTAACATTGACAAAGGAGCTGAGAGGCCCTGTACACGGTTCCAAAAGTAATGCCTGAGGCAATGCAACTGACCTTGATAGACAGCAAGGTATAAATTTTGGTTGACACAAGTCTCTCTTTATCCCGGTCTTGAACATCCAACAGGGAAATATAAAAGACGTATAAAAGTATTAACAATATAGGCTGAACTAAAAGGGGACTCCAATCACTGCCTCCTGCTGACAGTTTCTAACTATATCTGTAGGCAATTCTAGGAGCCAAATGGTTACAAGTGGTATTCCAATCTCTTAAGAACAGCATCTGATACGGCTCATTCCCTAATCTGACTTTCCATTGCGAGATATCGTGAGGCCTGAGTGACTCCATTTTAAAATTTGGCCCCATCTTAGAGTGAGGTGGCCTGGACATAAACTCTAGTTCCAAGAAAAACCACAAGATGTACTTTGGCCACCTGCCTGTGATAATGTTCAGCAGTCCCCTAGCAACTAGCCTAGCAACAGCTAATCAGTAGCTGCCCCAATGTCCCAGATGCTCTTCTCGATGGCTTGCAACAGCTAATCAGTAGTTACCCCAATACCCCAGTATCCCAGATGTTCTTTTTGATGACTTGAGCCACCGTTTGCAGTTCAGCACGCAAGGCATAGCCAACCAGGTTTAAATTTTCAAAACTTGCTAAATGCTAGCCAATCGTGTGATTTGCGTGTGATTTGCGTGTGATTTGAAACCCCGCGCCTTTTTGAAAAAACCGCGCCTTGCTCTAACCTCTATAAAAACCCCTGGTGTTTTAGAGTCGGGGCTCTCAACCCTGACCCGCTGCGTCGGTGTCGGATGAGAGTCCCTGCTCGAGCTTGAATAAACGACCCTCGTGTGTTTGCATCGGAATCGGCTCCTTGGTGGTCTTTGGGGATCTCGCGATCTGGGCACAACAATATATGTTTGGTAATTCTTTCTTTGTCATGCATAGAACCTGGACTGTTTTTGCCCCACTCAACTATACCACTTTGGCTATTTCTCTTCGATTGTTGGTATGGTTGCCACTTTACCCTTTAACTTCTGATTCTGAAATATCTCTAAAACTCCAATTTATTTTTAGCCTCTTCTTTTTTTAAAAAATTAATTATTTATTTACACATAACTAAAAGTGATGTTACAGTACATAAGTTACTTACAACTGTGCAGTAATTGTTGCAAAATAAATTATTTAGAAGGCAGCAATGTACATTGTAAAGGTATATAAAACTGTACAGCGTCCGCGGATACACTCTGTATAGGATTATTGGCTCTGTAGTGTTTCAAGTTACGTTCTCAGAAAGAGAAACAAAATGCCCAAGATTAAAGGAAAAAATATACAAACCACGTGGATTTGACTCCATTAAAAACACTATTGGAGAGTCCTGGCTGCGTCCCTCTGCGGCCAGACAGGTGGCAGCCGTGGCCTCACCACACCGGGGTCCCCAGCGTCCCCGTCTGCCCCGAGGACGGGGCCAAGACGGCGCTGTCCTGCCTCTCGCCTGGAAGTCACTCCGGGGGGACCTGCAGGGGGTGACGCCTCGGTTCACGTCCTACGGATGATCAGAATGAACGAGGATCTGAAGCGCTCTGTCCTGCGGCTGCTCCTCGGCGCTGTTCTCCAACGCACACCTCGGTGTCCTCCTCCTGCCGGGAGGCAGGCTGCGATGCTGGGCCTAGTGCTCCGGCAGCAGCTGGGGGAGGGCCGGGCCCCATCTCCCTAGCATCCAGCCAGTCTGGAGGGGAGGCACGGGCCAGGTGCAGTCTCGCCCCTCCCACCTGGTGGTGCGGACCTCTCCTCCGCCGCCGCGGGGACTCGTCGGCAGCACGGGCGACTGAGCGGGCCCTCGCCTGTCCTACGGCCCTCCTTGTGGGTGTCACGCTGGCAGCAGCACAAAATCGTCGTTGACGTCAACCATGGTCACATAGAAGAAGGGCACCTCGTTCACGCACAGGGACTCGTGCCCCGTAGGGTCCAGCTCCTGCGCCTTCAGCTGCCACTCCATCCTCTGCACGGCGTTGAGGGCCGCCGCCTCGTGCTGCTGCCGCATCAGGAGACACGTCTTCAGGCGGTCGGACTTGTCGTCCACGTCCTGCAGCCAGGAGATGAACTGGCGGGCGTTGAAGCGATCTCGCACCACTTGTTCTCATCCCCCTGGCTCTCCAGAGGCAAGTTGTGACCTCGGAGTCCAACAGCATCGTGCAGGCGCTGAAGGGCACCGGCTGGTTGGCAATCGTCCGGGCTGCCCGGCAATGGACCCGCAGGGTCTCCTGCTCACAGGACACTATGAGCTTCTCCCGCTCGATGCTGTGCTGCAGACGCAGCTTCCCCCGCACAGCTTCCTGCTGCTTGAAGAGCTCCTTCAGGGGCTCTGCCAGGGAGGGTGGGGGCGCGATCACAGGGATGTGGAGCTTGCTGAGTGGCTTGCCGTCTAAGAGGTAGGACCCCGTGTAGGTGACTTACTCAGCGTAGCACTGGGGCGCCTGTGGTGTGATGTAGCAGAGATTTTGTGCTTCTCTTCGATCTTCTTTCTGATCTGAAGGTACTCAAAGTATGGGTTAGATCTGTCACTGTGATAGGGCTCAATGTCGTCCAGCTTGAGAGCGTCCACGATGGCGGCCAGTGTCTGCTGGACGACCTCCTGAGTCTGCTGTGTGGACGTGTGCAGCTGCTGCTGCAGCTGCTGGTTGGAGCGCTGGAAGCTGCGCTTGCGCGGGTGCTGGGCTTGGGCGTCCTCCTCCTCGGGGGCACGGGCCTTGGTTCGGGAGGCCTGCGTGGACGTGGGCGCGGGCGCAGGCTCCTTCTCCGTGGGCGGTGTGCCCTGCTTGCTCTGACTGGCCAGCATCTGGGCCCGGTTCCTGGTCATGCGCTGAGGAACCTCCTCCACCCGGGGGTCCTTGAGGCCTCAGCTGCAGGCCTGGGCTCTGGCTCTGGAGCTCCTGGCTGCACGCTGCCCGGAGGCCCCTCGGCTGGGGTGGCAGCAGGGGTGACCTCTGAATCAGCTTGGGCCTGTGGGGGGACCTCCGGGGGGGCTATCAGGGGCACAGTGGGGAGCAGCCGCAGGGTCTTCAGCCTCCACCCCATCTCCGCCCTCCCCTGGAGGGGATGCGGTTCTGGGGGGCCGGGCACAGGCACTGAGCTGGAGTCCAGGTCCTCAGGGGCCTGCTCGTCCGCCACTGCTTCTGCTTCCACAGTGGCTTCCAGAACCACATCCGGCTTCGGCTCCTCGGAGGGCTCGAGCTCAGCAGGGAGTCGGGGGACGGCCTGCTCCGGAGGTGGAGCTGGCTGATCCTCGGCCACAGCCACAAGGCCGTCCCCATCACTGCTGACCCCAGCGGGCACAGGGAGGGCCTCTCCCCGGGGAGCAGGGCTTCCTTCTGCAGGCTCCATTTCAACATCTGGGGGGTCCTTGGGCTGCAGAGGGAGCTCCGGCAGCGAGAAGGGCCCCAGGTCCAGGTCGCCCTCGGTGCTGGTGAAGGCGTCATGCCAGGGCACGGGCTCCACCTGGCTAAGGGCAGCCAGGCCATGGCCGCTGTCCAGGAAGCTGCTCTCCAGGGCTCCGAGGGCCTCCACCTGGGCCACCGTGGAGACGCACGTGGGCTCAGGCACCTGGTCGAGGGGTGCATCCGGGAGTGGCTTGCAGCTGCCAAAGAAGGACTCGAGCCTGGCAGGGGTGGTGTAAGGTGTGGCTCCCTCGGTGGTGGCGGAGATGGCTCCCACCCCATCATCTTTGACTTCCTCCAGGTCTGTTTTAGCCTCTTCTTCCATACCCATGACCACTTATGTGAGTCTGTCCAGGCTGCTATAATGAACACATAACTGAGTTGCTAACAACAGAAATTTAGTTCTTACACTTCTGGACTTGGAAGTCTAAAGTCAAAGTGCCAGCCGATTCACTGTCTAGTGAGGACAATTTTCCTTATTTATATATAGCATCTTCTAGCAATGCCTTCACATGGTGAAGAAGCAAGGCGCTCTCTGGGCTCTTCTTGATTAGGGCTCTGTCCTCATCGCCCAAAGGCTCCACCTCCTAATACCATCATAATGGTGATTAGGTTTCAATGTATGCATTTGAAGTGGAGGACACACAAGCATTAAGACCATGGTACCATGCCATGCTAAGTAATACAGGGAGCACATGCTCACCTTCCCCCCATTTAAGAGTTTATTAATGTCCTACGGTGTCCTAGAGACTATAAAATTTTAATTTTCTAGTTCAGTAAAGCCATGGAGAGTTGAAACCTGGGTTGTTATAGGTCCAAGAAAGCACAGTATAAGTAGAAGGATTTAGCAGCCACAGAATACAAGCTTATTCTGAATACAAGCTTATTCTGAATACAAGTTTATTCTGAATACAAGAATACAAGTTTATTCTTTAAACACTAAAGGTATTTGCTGGAGATAAACAAAGAATTTAACAAGTCTCTTTTTCTATGTCATTTCCTTTGGGAAAGCCAAAGGGGCTGATTTTTAGAGTTAAAAAATGATTTAAGTTTCTTCTACCCGTGTCTTTAATGAGGAGAAAAAAGGTTTTCTCGAAACAATCTAGGTCAGATAGGTACAGGTGACCTGCCACAGTTGGAACCACGCTATAATCAAACATAGACTCCCAGGGGCTAGGAAAAGTGACTCAAAAGTATTATTAATAAAACATGGCATTATGAGAGAAACCCCACAGGAAGAAAGAAAACACTTACGATAGGAACCACAAGTGCACACAGAGTATATTTCATCTCCTTTTGGGTCAGAATCAGCAGCCCACAAATTGAAGGACTGTTTTCAATACCAGAAGAGACCAATGTACTCTTAAATTTTGCCAGAATCCCTCCTTGGATACTCATGAAAAATCCTGGTGATCCTCTCATTATAGAGGGAGAATCAGTTAATAGTCTCTAACAGTGTACTCATTGCTGGAGGGAGAGTAAATCAATACACTCATTCTAACAGCTTCTGTCAAGATTTTAAAGCACTCATCCTTTGATTCAGCAATTCCTCTGCAAGAAATATGTCTTACAGGCATCTCTGACTTATTCATAAAGTCAAATATACATTTAGGCAAAAATGTCACTGCAGAATCCTTATTGTACCAAACAAATGTCTCTAGATAAATAAACAGTTAAATGTATTATAGTGTGCTCATACTCTGAGATATTTATAACAGTTCAAAAGAATGAGGAAAAAGCTTTCCAAAATACCTTAAAGGGACCAGGAGAACTGCACAGATAGCACTATAATCCTACTACCTTAAAAAACCAGTTGGGGAGATTAGCTCAGTGGTAGAGCACTTGCCTAGCATGCACTATGCCCTGGATTCAATTCCCAGCATCACATAAAAAAAAAAAAAAGAAGAAGAAGAAGAAGAAGGAAGAAGGAGGAAGAGGAGGAGAAGGGGAAATATTCCAAGTGTTTATATAGTTGTGTGCATTATATATAAGCTTAGTATAATGTCTTGAGTGATACATACTTAAAGGCTAATACTACTTGTAACCAGAGAAGGAAGTTTACTGGAAGAAATAGAAGCTACAATACCAGCTGATATACCACTGTACCATTTGAATTTTGCATAAGTGTGTATTTGCTTGTATCATTTTAATTGATTACCTTAGAAAGAAATGTAAAAAGAACTAAATAATTTTATTTACTTACTTAAAAAGCCTTCCTTTCTGAAATAGGGGTCTCAGAGAAAACATTAAATTGTGTGCTTGATTCAAACTCAGACATGTCTAGGATTTCCTTAGTTTTTTTGCTCAGGATTCTGGGATCTAATTGCTTCAGAAATTCATGCCTTAGGATAAATAAAAATATTCAAGCTTAGTTTGAAGACTCTGCAGAGCAGGGAGAAAGGGGTTATTGATGAGTATAGTACAATTAC